CTTGGCAAGATAGTCCTACAGCGGCTTAGTATCTCCTATATCACGACCTCAAAGTTGCCGCTGGTGAAGACTTACATCCATCCCACATGAAACACACTTCTCCTTATCGCCTTGGATAGCACTGGCCGTCATAGCAACGATTGGAACACCTCGGATTTCAGGCATGTTGCGCCATGGTGCTTCTGTCCGGATAGCGTGGGTAGCAGAATATCCATCTCGAATAGGCATCTGCATTTTCTATTAGCAAACGATATGTGCAAACATTCACAGTTACCTTACCTGCACATCCATCAAGATAATATCCGGGCGTGGATGCGAAGGGCCGAACTCCTGCATCAGATATTCCAATGCTTCCTGGCCGTTCCACACCGCACTAACCGAGAAGTGAAGTTTTTTGATGGTCTTGAGCGCAATCTGTTGATTGATGTGGCTGATTATTTGTCAGATGCCGAGGTTCATGGAATTGTGTTCAGGTGTAACTTACTTGTCTTCGACGACCAGAACGTGGATCTGCTGTCTTTCGCTTTCGGAGAGATTCATCAGATGATCCGGAATGGCTGATTTCAGGAGCGGGTATGGCGAGCTTCCGTTGGGTAATTGCGGTGTCAACGGCGGCGTGTGGCCTTCCGAGCTTCCGCATGAAACCGACATGTCACTCTGGAGTCGATCCGGGATGGACTCTAGATGAACCAACGGTGATTCTCCGTCTTGCGATGGTGCGCGGGTGAATGGTATCCAGAAAGTAGCAGTAGTACCCTGTCCCAGCTTCGAGTCCAGCCATATTTGCCCTTTCATGAGCTCAACCAGATTCTTGCTGATGGTCAGTCCTAAGCCAGTTCCTCCGAAACGGCGAGCCGTAGATGAGTCTGCCTGACTAAAGGGTTGAAACAACCGTTTCCGGACCTCCTCTTCTATCCCAATACCGGTGTCATCCACCCTGAAATTTACCGTGACCATGTCTTTTGACTCCTGGCTGATCGATACGGCGAGCTTCACAGTACCCACCGATGTGAATTTGATGCTGTTGGTGAGCACATTGGTCAGGATTTGCCGTAACCTGCCTGGGTCTCCCATCACCCGGAGATCCGCCTGAACCTCGTCTTGTATCGAACTCTGATAATCCAGACCTTTCCTTTGGGCAGCAAAAGACATCATCTAAGCTAGTTAGTAAGAATACAACCAGGGATTTTGGTGAGTGACTTGCCTTGTTCACATCTCTTAGAACCACGCTGAGACTGAACTGTACCTCTTCCACGTCCAGTCGACCTGACTCAACCTTTGAGAAGTCTAAGATGTCGTTGATCACCGTCAGGAGGCTGTTCGCGCTTCGATGAATGTTCTCCGCGCACTCTTTCTGCTCCTCGTCCAAGTTCATGTCGAACAGCAGTTCGCTCATGCCAATAACCCCTGCTATAGGTGTCCGGATCTCGTGTGACATGTTGGCCAGAAACTGCGACTTCATACGACTGGCTTCCTTTGCCGCCGCTTCATTAGCCAAGAGCCTTGAGTTCTCTTTCTCCTGTTCTTTCAGTTGTTCTTCCCTCTCTCGTAGCTCTGTGATATCCATGGACACACCGATTACGCCATCCACGAAGGTGTTGCCTTCAATGCCGGCAGTCCGAGAAGTACTCATAAGCGGTACTAAACGAGTTCGGTAGTAGTGAGCCTCCGACATGTATCTTCCGTTCACAACCTCAACTGATTGTTTACCCTGTAATATCTCTTGAATAGGTTCGTGCCATCGCTTCCGATCGTTGTCATTCAAATTGAAGACATCGAAAACGTCTCTGCCCAACTGGTTCTTTCTAAACCGTTCGTTGGGCTCAATGTCTCCTTCCATCACCTTGACTTCATTGTTGCGGTCAATCACCCAGAGGACAATTTTTGCGTGCTGAATGACCTGCTGTAATTGCTCTCTTGTCTGACGCGCCTCCTGACGGGCTAGGACCAGATCGTGGATGTCAGTGCATGTGCCAAACCACTTAACTATACGCCCAGAGTCGTCATAGAAGGGTACAGCCCGTCCCAGCATCCAGCGCCACTCTCCATCGTAGCGCTGGCATCTATATTCCGTATTGTATTCGTCGCCTGTCCTGAGAGAATGAAACCAACGCTCCGCGGTTGTGGACATGTCATCTGGATGGAATGGGAGGCGCCAGCCTTCGCCTAGTGATTGATCAACGGTTAACCCTGTGTAGTCATACCACCGTTGTGAGAACCAGTCATGAAGTCCATCAGGTGTCGTTGTCCATACCATGACTGGCATGAAGTTGGCGATGTACTCAAACTGCTTCTCGTTCTCTTCAATCTGGGCGGCGATCTGCTTGGTATATTCGGTGACATCCTTGAAGATCACTATACCACCAAGGAAATCTCCAGTTTCTTCATGAAATACAGGCTCCCCATTGATCTCATACACGATACGAGTGCCTGTTTGCGGGTGTCGCATACCAATGCGCCGTTTCTCAACTCTCTCTCGCGTACGGCAGACCTCAATGATAGGAAATTCGTCAATGCCGAGAAGGCGCTGGAAGTCCTCGGTCCAACACGAGAACTGAGAAAGAAAATCCCTTTGGTCACCAGGTACATATGTTCCGTCTTTCGAAAGGAGCCGCAGTAGGGCCTTGTTTGGGATACCAAAAGTTTCGTCTTTCCACATGGCTGTGCAGGGGTTAGTGGAGAGTTGGCTAAAAGAAATTGAGATCGAACGTACCGTATGCAGGCATGGTAACGGAGTTCAATATGGCGTCTTTTAGTTGTGTCGCCTTCTGGAATACGGATGCAGCCGTCCCAATATCACCCTTACTTTTGGTAGGAGGGCCACGAGGAGGGAATTCTGGTTGTTGTAGCGTAGGCGTTACAGCTTTCGAAGCCGTGTTTGAACTACTTCCCGAACGACGGCCTGATGAAGAGCTTGAGCCTGAGCTACGTGACTTGTCGAGACGGGCTCCTGTGTTTGTCCGGGTGACGATACGACTGGAAGGTGGTAGCGCACTATCAGCAGCTGTTGCGCTTGTGAAAGTCAACGTATAATATTGGGTTTCCTCAATACTCCAAACAGAGATTATGCAAGATGCCTGCATTGCATTTTCGTACGCTGTTTTCCTGTCCGACTTGTGCAGCGTGCCTTCGGGACCCAAAACCAGCGGTGCAACAACGACGTCTACTGACACGTCGTGTACCATAGTTCGAGCGAGGTTTGTACTGCTCAAGGGTGGCAATGACTCTGTTGATTTGTTGTTCGTTTGATACGGCATGTTGGCTGCAGTCGGCGTGGTGTGGCCACTTCCCATGTGGGAATCTCCGTCCTTATCCAAGCCATTTGCTATTGAATCGTCTACTACGCAGTCCAGAAAGCTCTATTAAAGTTAGCAATTGGCAGGTTTAAATACTATGTTTGCACGAGTGTGGGGAAAGACGAACCTCCCATGTGATCATGATTGGAGAGCCGTTCTGCAAGATGTCTACAGCAAGATCACCCATGGTCTTGTCCTGCAACACCTCGGATATGGAAAGATGATGAACGCTTTCAAAGTCAATGCCAAAAAGGCGACCCATAGCCTCATTTGCCAAGACCACGGTTTTCTGCGCTGACAAGACAATGACTGGTACTGGTAAGTATTGTAGCGCAGTAAAAGACGCCATGGTGGCTGACGGCTCGGCGAGATGCATTGACATGGAGTCGCTACGTATCGAGTTGGGAGATTCAGATCTTGCGCGCTCTCCCATGGCGAAGTATCCGCCATCGCGGCTGTCGGCCTCTGTCATTATGATTACGGTGGTGTGGTGGTGCGCGTGTATGGCCGTGTAGGATCGTGATGCGACTCGTGTCCGGAAATAGTGGCCGCACCCGTAAACGGTAAGGAAGAAGCGACTGGTGACGCCTCAACTAGACCAGACAACAACAACAACATGGAGCGGACGCCCTGGCCAGACCATGGAGAAAGTCGCGCGCAGACGTATTCGAGAAGGAAAAGTGCGAGCTCAGGAAGTGGAGAGACGTTGGGCGATGTTCGTGGTTGCGCTTTGGAGGTGGAGTGGGGATCGCATGTACGAGTCGTGTAAGCGGGCAGATCGGTTCTAGACCCTCTCATCGGTTGGGATATTGAGTACGTACCCAAGCTGCGAAAACCGTGAAGTGAACGAACGAGACGCACAAAGCACAAGCACAAGCACGGCAAGAAAATGTGTGAGTGTACGCCGGACACCTCGCTCTGAAGACAAAGGTTCTAGAACCGCGCTTCCGGTTCAGGTGGGTGCCATGGCAATGACGCAAATTTGGGTGCTGAAAGAACGGACGATGAGACGGCGCGCGCCCATAGCCGGCCGTGGGTACTCCCCCGAGCCCTACCATTTGATGGAGCAGGGCTTGAGAGATGTTTGGCGTGAGATCTGGGAGCTCCGTTTCTTTGGCCGTCCCGTTTGGCATATGGCGATCACTGTGGGTGCCCTGAGCATAATTCGATTAGGGTTTCTCCGTCTTGGTGCTACTTTTTGGACACCGAGCAGCATATGGTGAGCATGTCAACTATGTGTTTTGACAACGATCCCCACTAATCTTCATGTGCTACACCGGTGCACTGGCATGGATGGGGTATGATCGACATGCGGTTCAAATTGCCGCCTTGTCAAAATGCGATTGGCAAGCGATCCATGCCGAACAAGAACCCCCATGTTTACCGTGTCCGTGAAGCGCTTCTGGAATTTTGGTGCACCGCCACACGAAGGAGTTGTGCTGGTACTGCTATAGCGATATCAGCGTTCCGATGCCGTTTCTATGGCGCTGTGTTCTCAACGACATGCATGGATTTGATCTACTTGGAGGATTGCTCCCGTTCGGGACATGTATGGATCTGGAGCTTACATAATCCGTGAGGCTGGAGTCGACGACAGCTGTCTTTCTGATAGGCAGCCACATCAACAACTGCAACGCTCATCGATAGCCTCGTTACATGCAGTAGTGCACGACGCAACAACACGATCCTGCCACAGTCTTCCAAATGTTCTTCTTCGGGCTCGGTGGGCTGTTTACTGGTATTACCTGTCGAGTCACATCTTACAGATTCGCTCGCTAACACGCGCAGTCGCGGTACTCCTCGTCAATGCCATAGCAATCCTCTCCGAGGACCGCTTCCTCGCGCGCAGTACGTTTACCAGGCCTCTCTGACCCCCTTCGGTCCTCGCGCATCTATACATACACCAAGAGACGCGAACGTACAGCAGAACACCCGACTGACCCAGATTACAGTTGGCTGGACAGCATCTGCAGACCCCGGTTTCGGCCGCCCTGGCGATGATGCCAGTATAAAAGCGCGATTGATCAACCTTGTCTCCTCGGTACGGACTCTCATGAGGTGTACGTATACCCCACCATGGTCTCCATCCCCCGCATCCCTTGGAGGGGTGGAATGTAGAGCCAACAGACATACTGACACGGCTGCAGTACCCTTGATGTTAATCAACACCCTCATGATAGTCTACCTACTAGTTCTCGGTTGAGCGTAGTGCATACACATTACGAACTAAACTCCGACTATCTCGACTAGCATACACAGGGCGCAGGAATGGGCGTACACAAGCATTTGGCGTTGTGCGCTACAAAAGGTTGACTACATTGGACGGAGTTTGTGGGGACAAAGGACATTGAAGAGCGTTTACTATACATGCTCCAACCTAGCAGCTTGATACATGATATCGAGGAGCAGATACCCTGGTACGGCCGTGGCGGGCGGCTCACTCAGATGATACCACGCCATTCTCCCGTTAGAGTGTGCATAACTTGAATATATGAAATGTCATATCCCCGGATACAGCGCAAGCCTAACCCACGTATCATCAAGATATTCAGTGTACTTCCGCAAGTGGGAACAGCAAGCTCGACATCAATCAAATCCTGTGGAGGGTAAGAGCTTCGTCATCACTGGTATCATGTCTGCATTCATAGCAGTCCGAGGATGTACGATTCAAGCCATCGTTGGAGTTCGCTCGTTGGCGAAGGCTGATGGGGAGTTGGAGAGGAGAAGCGTCCTAGGTGAATACAAGAGAGTCCAATTGATATAAAAACAACAAACAGGTCTTCAAGGTCATAACTCTTCGTTTCTGGCAAGCACGCACCCATCCTCTTGTTTCAAATGACCTTCACTTCCTTCGCCACCGCAGCGCACAGCTCAACTCTCACTCCCGCACCGGACAGCACATGTATCCAAAGCCTCTGCGTGTCACTCAGACGGTCGTTCTCACTCTTGACTTCCGCAAACTTGACTTCACCCTTCTTCCCTTCTTCTGATATCCGCCAGAGAAATAGGTCCGGTACACCGCCTCCTCTCTGTCCATACTCTTGCGCCATGACCTTGCACACAGTCGCTAGCGCTTCACCATCAAAGCAATGAGCGATCTCGAGTAGGTCCAGAACATCATATGTCCAATCCAGACCTACAACGCAAGTTCGACGCTCGTGGTGGTCATCGTATATTCTTTGAATGATGGCTGGTGCGTCGCCGTTTGATATCTTATTCAGCCGTGCATTAATCTCTGATATACGAGAGGCGTAGAACGCGTCTGTATGTAGGTCTAATGGACAAGTTTGGTATGGCGTCTGGAAGACGTTGGGTACGTACGTGAACAGGACGTCGAAGAACAGGTATGCAAAGAGAGTGCGCACAATCCCACCCTCGCTGTGGTAGCCTTTCCAGCCTTGATTGCGGTAATGTGAGAGACACATTGCTTCTACGGAGCACTCGCCATCCTCGCGCGGATCGATCCATATCGTCTTTCCTCCCCGCCGACCAAATTTTGAGTGTGGTGAGCTGTTTCTTCTTGACAACGAAGGGCGCTCGCGTTCGATCCGGGTTCCTTCCATGGAAACTTCAACTGGCTTCGTCAAGCGGACATGCGAGAAGTCGTGTTGCATTCGTTTGGCAAAGTTCAGTGACAATTCAAGTTTGGTGATGCGCTTCTGCAGATCATAGTGATATATAATATGCGCAAGATTATCTTGCAGTCCATCCTCACAAGTCTGCAAAGCAATGAGCTTCCAGTGTCTCTTCTGTTTGTCTGCACTTCTCTTCTCAGAATCGGTCAGCGCAGCCATATAGTGTTCTTCAAGCAATGCTTTGCGCTGATACCATGCTCCTCTGCGGGAATGATGAAACAATCGTTGTTGCAGTAGTTCGGTTAGAAGTTCATGTTCTCGCACATGCTCTTTCCGGCGCCTGAGCACGTCAAGCGCTTTATGGATGATGCGTGTGTAGATCCAGGCTGGCGAAAGACGGCGCAGATACGAGCCTTCGCCGCTTTGGTAAATGCTATTCTCCTTCTGTTGCTCCTCTTGAACCAGAACTTGCCAGCGCGGATAAACCTCGTTAAACGTATCTATGATTTCTTGATACCCCTTCTCCGTTGGCCTTCCGTTAAACTCCAAAATACTATCTATTCGATATTGTGTTCGTATAGAAGCTTCATACTCTAGCAGTAGCGAACGCGAGGCGAATATGTTCGCAGATCGAGAAACGATGTACTCTGGAAAGTTCCAGCGTGCGATCTTCGCCAGGATGATTGTCGTTAATGACTTCTCGGTCCATTCCGTGGAGCGGTAGAAGACAAGATGGACGCGCTCAAAAAGCTTCAAGGTATCCAGGGATAGTCGTATACAAGGCCCCGTCTCTTGCATGATCCTACGCGTAAAGTGCGCGTCTCGATTGGCATCATCAGAGAGGTCGCCTTCGGGTTCTAGCTCGACTTCTGGTGTTTCTGGTCGAGACCTAGACGCGGATGACCCTCGTGAAATCTCCGAGTCCGACCGCTTCAGTCCAACGTAGCCCAGACCTGCCTGTTTCTGGCTTGTGCGTCGCAAGGCCTTCAAGAGCTCCCCCTTGTTCTTCCCTTTGACCTTGGCGTCTTTCGCAAGAGCCTTCAGTTCATCGAGTTTCAATAGCGATGATGCCTCCTCTAGTGTGCTTATCTCCTCTTCGGACCGGTCCGCGAATGTGAACGAGGTGCCCAATGTCGTCCCTGCTGGTGCCTCCAACTCGCCCGGATGTGACTCAACTTCGGAGGAAGACGGAGGGAGATTGTATGTGCGTTGTAGTGTCTCGGCGGCTGCTTCAAGGTCTGAAATATCACTATGGTAGCCCAGGTTCTTTATCCGATGCCAGACGGACGTCTTGCGAAGGAACAGCCGTACATATCTATGAATGAGAAAGCAATCAGCAACAGCATATACGCTCTTTTACTCCAGATTCAGACTTACAGATACTGTGCTTCATAGCCTATTTCCCTCCATATCCGAAAGACTTCTGTTTCAGCCTCATCAAAGAGATGGCTTTCTTCATCCAACACTGTATCCAGTGCTAAGTTAAATGCATCAACATAGAGCGAACTTTTACCCCGAATCCATGCACGTTTCTCCAAACGCCCATCCGCTCTTTCGGTTTTGCTCTCCTCCTCTGCCTTGTACGCCTCGTATGCTTTGATGGCGTCATCACTCGTATCGACTTGAGGCAACGCAGTCTCCAGGTCTGTCTTGTGTTCTCTCTCCTCTTCTTTAATCACAATGCTCTCACACTCGTCTTCAGAGTCGAGCATTTCGCGCTTGGTCGTTTTCCGTGGTGTTGGCGGTGGTTTCTTGGGGCTGTTGCCCGTCTTCTGGCGCTTGGCCGGTCGATCTTGCTCGCCATCGAAGTTGGTGGATTTTGGATGCTTGATGAACCGGGTAATCATCTGGTTGTGTACGGAAGGGCTTCGAGGATTGAGCGCCATTTTCGTGGTCGCAGTAAGCTGCGAAATGACGCCTCGATCTAAGGCAAGTACTGCCTTGCCACAGGCACGGTGACACGCGAGATCGCGCTGTCACGAGGTGACTAAGACTCACTGGGTTTTAGCGTGGTCTGAGCAGTGACGTCATCGGCATGGACCTGAGGTTCGGGTGAACAGCCTTCGCATGGTTCAACGGATTTGAACATTGCCCAACTAGGAAAACCACGAATAATGTCTCTATTGTACCGCATAATGAACACTCAGTGAGATGTTTCTATCATCATAATTGCCTTGTTTGGCAATTCTAGGTATGTATACCTCGAATGTGTCTTCGGTGATCGAAGGGTACTGGCTTGCTCACTCAGCATTGTCGGTAACTATAGTGCACTTGTAAGGTCTCCATTGAGCAAAGCAGATAAGTACTACAACCGAATGTACCAGAGCGTGACTGTCTCAGTAGTATTATCAAATCATAGGCAATTACTCGTCGAGTGAACAAAATCAGACCAGAATCAATGGTAATGCGAAATCAACTCGAATAGGAATCGCTGACTAGATATAGCAAGCATCTTTGGACAGCATTAGTGTCAAAAATTACGCTGTGGTGGTGGCTCAGGCGAAGGTAACCGAGCAGCAATCGACTTTTGTTGATACTTGTCTAGGTAACGCAGTAAGGTCCGCAGTAGGTTGAGACGACATGTACATATGAATCATGAAGCCAGTACATTCTATAACCCGCCCAGAAACTCTTAAACTGTAATGTTGACAGAGACGAATAGATGCAGAAAACGCTACCAAAGGTGATGCGGATAGAGAAACTCCTGCTACGACCAGCGTTATCTGATATTACTTCATTGCGTGACGTCTGGCTCTAGATGGAACGAGATTTGACGTATCCATTGCAACTGGAGAAGAACACTGAATCATATATAACTTCATTTTACCATCTTCCTGCCTGTCCCTCGGGCCCTTCGCATCGAACTGTCCTTGATTGCCCTAACTCCAGCTGACTTCCCAACCGATCACTCTGAATCTCCACTTCTGTATCAACTTGTACATCCATACGGACAATGCCATTCTTTGTCTTCCGGCCACTCACTTCTCCCGTACCCGATCCCTTCCCATCAGTTCCCGCAATCTCTTCTCTTCTCATAAACGGATTTTCGGTTTCTTGCATCTGCTCATCGAAGGTGCATATTGCTCTTACGCCTGACTTCATATCATGTGCGAGTTCGATGTCATCTGAGCCGGAATTGATGAATGTTGGTACGCGGCTTTGACGCTTGCTTCTAGGCAGATTACCATATCCCTGTGAACCGTATTCAGGTAATTTTGATCGCCTGGTGGTGTAAGAGCCCGTATGCTCACGAAGGAAGCGTATATGTTCCCGGAGAAGAGGCCATATACTAGGAAGATTGGCGACGTAAACTGCAACGGAAGCTTCGCGGGTGTACCACAGCATGTATGTGGTAGCATACACGTTTGAGAGATTGTAGATCTTGGTTAGAATTGCTGCAATGATCTGATTAAATGTGTTAGTAAAACGAAGGTTGTAAACCAGGAAAGAGAAGGGAGCTTACAACAAAAGTGCCCATGCTGAATAGTATGCCTAGAAAAACCTTCTGTTTCAAGGGAAGAGAAAGCGATACGATCATCGGTATCGGCACAGCGATGATAAGGACATCGCTGCTTAGATTGAAAGCTGCTTGTACAATCGCGAAGTGCTCGAGTGTCGTACATTGCGGGTTTGGAGGCGGCACTGCCCAGTATCCTGTGAATGGATGGCATGCACTGAAGAAGGCAATCTCAACACTTAACCAACCAACAACAACCCATGTTGCAGCCGCTTTGATCCATTTCATGTTTGTCGTTCCAGTGAGCATGCGGGCATACATGAATAGCATACAGGCCTTTAAAGACCAAATAACGTTCAGCATGCACTGTTTGATGTTAGCTGTGTGTTATTGTGTATTCATACGTTCCAGGCTCTGCTAACATACTTGCTCGGAGATGACCACGATCTTGGATCCTTTGATTCTCTCGTCAATCTCTTTCTGTGTGAAAGTGGAGAACTGCTCTGGTGGGAAGAGATTGCTTCCACCCCCTGTCGCAATGATGTTCAGGCATACTATTAGCCCAGTGTAAAAAAGTGGTACTGCCGTTATCATCATCCAGTCATCTGCTGCAAAGCCGCGTAGACTTCGGACTCGGCACCATCGTGCAAACCTATGACTGAGAATGAGCATTGTGATATCCTTTTGCTAGGTGTTACTAACATGCGAAGCAAGATGACAACCATACCGATACTATATAACGTCCATGATTGCGAAGCTAATTGTTCTGGAAAGTCAGACATTCTGGACCTTTGCGACGATGGGTCGGTGTATCGAAGTATGTTTTGCTTTCGTTTGCAAGTCGTTCACAGGGTACCGTCCATGCAAATTGCGATTCAAGGGATGGCTTCTCTTCTCGTGAGATGCTTCGTGCATTACACTTCTTCGTGTTTGCGTTCGGGCATAACTTATTAAAAGGAAAGCATTCACAACAAAATGGTAGATAACAAGTTAAAGCTTGCAGGCCGCAATTACTCGATGACCCGGCCGAGACAGATATGATGTCGCTCACCTACCCACGCACCTGGAAGTCAGGCCATGTCCTGCATATCGAGCAATTACCCTAGCACTGTTCCCACATCAACATTTCCGCGCAACAATAATCCCTACTTCAGATCCTTCAAGGGTCTTTACCGTGAATGACCCTGTCGCGGTGATCAACATCGCAGTCGGCCTGCGTGGCTAGTCCAATGCGCCAAGTGATTGACTTGTGGTCGGATTCTCAAGAAAGGCATGCAATTGGTGAGACGTTTCGCAGAAAAACACGCTTGTACTCGAACAAGGCGCGGGATATAACGAAGAACCAGTACAGTGGGAATTTGTACACTGCCTGAGACGGGCGCTTCCAGCCGCACGGCAGCTATCTTTCGGACAAATTATGTATGGATGAATCGGGCTACGATTCATCACCCTCAAATAATTGCGAGGTCCACATGTAAGCGATGCGGGCTGTATACCAAGGCAATGAAATACGAACCCTGCCACCGTTCAAGCGCGTAAGCGCAGCCACATTGCACACAAAGACGTTATGTGGTGGAGGCGTGGTGTGACAAGAGTGATTGTCGAAGATAACGGAAAAAGCAAATGCGACACTTCTGAGTTGGGCCGAAACGAGAATGACATTCGCCAAGCAGACCCTAACCATGTCGACGCCAGCATTTCATAGGCTGTTTGAAATTTACCAAGGCTTGATTACAAGGAACCTATCTCAAAAGGAGCAGTTATACATTCTGAAGATAAGAAAATATGCAGGTCCAACCCACCCTTCTCCACCATATCAACGGCGGAGAAACCGGATCAGCTCCATAGGAGATCTTCGTCCAGGTACCAAGCCACAAAATGCAGGGAATGATTGAACATATATGCCGTAGACAACGCCAGAGGAACGGTGAATGTACACGCTAAACCGCTCAGAAAGCTATAAGGTAGGATCCATAATAGGAACACTCGTCTAAAGCGCCCAACTGCCTTTCCTGACGGCAGTGCCACGCCCACCAACCATAAATTCGTCTTCGGACATGTTGGGATGCTGCCTCGCCCACTCTTGAATGTAGATACGTAGAGCGCGCCAGCGCATGCACGTCTCCTCGGTAATCTCGGTGTCCTTCAGGTTGCCGTCTTTGCCAAGACGAATGTAACCGCGGGAAGATGCAAGGTGGTCGTCTTGTCTCAGCTCGGAAATGGGTATGTGAGAGATCTTTGAAAGTTCTTCGTCGAATGGACGGGCCATTGACGGGTATCCAAGTGATAGGTAGTTATACACTTGAGTGACAAAGTTGTCACCGAATTCCTCTTCGATGGACTGCTCGACAGCGAGCTTCTCATCTATACCTGAGAAGCCAGTGTTTTCAAAAGTGATGCCAGAGCTAGATGCAGGAGGTGTAGGTGGCAAAAGACTCGTAGAAGGCGTTGGACAAGGCGACATGGGATTTGGCTTCTCGTTGTGGGGGGTGAGTAGACCCGTCGGCCCGCGTGGGGACTTGTCTCCACCATTGACGCAAAACCCACCCCACAATCCTGTAGTGCTCGAGGCTCGGCTGTTGGCGTTAGACCACAGTGAAGGTGTTGTACTTGTTTGTCTGCCATTGCCTTTGCCACACCAAAGACTTTCCCCTTTTTCGGACGCAGCCTTGGACTGTTCAGAGAGGTAGCACATAGCTGTCCTAACTGCATCACACCCTTGAGTAGGGTCAAAGCGCGATGGCTCCGGCGACTCGCATCGCGGAAATTTGATATCCTGACCAAGCATTGGAGGTCGGGCTTCTTTACGTTGACGCTCCAATTCGGGATCTTTCCGCTCATTCGCAAACTTCTTGGCTGTGGCAGCATCTAGGAAGCCGGCTGGGTTTCCAAACGGACTGAAGGCAGGCTTGATATATTCTTTCGGCTTCTGCTTCTCCTTGTCGGCTATTTGCTTCTCTCGGTACTCACGCATAGCCACTAGATCCCAATTAACTTGTGTGAAAGACGACTCCCGCTGCTGCTGCTGCTTGGCCTCGGTAACAGATGGTTCCGAGCCTTCTGTATCATGGTCCACGTAATGGGCCACAGGCTCGTGGAAATCGCTATTCGGGAACGCAGCCAAGGCCTGTTCTCGGAGCTGCTTCTCAGCAGCCTTAGCTGCCAGCTCAAGTAGGTAACCGGCAGAACTATCATCGACACTCTCTCGTCGTCGAGTAGCCTCTTTGTACATGAATGAATGATCCGAGGTGTAAGGTGGTGACTCTGTGGGTGATGGCGGGGCGGACGCTTCAGACTCTGAAGACTCAATCGGGTCTAAGTCTGGAACACGGAACGAGTGTTGTGAGCAGCTAAAGTACGACCGGCGTCTACACGGTGAGGCGTTGCGTTGTATCTCCAAAAACAAAGGGTTCTGGGTAATATCAAAAGTCGGTGTGTTTGTTGGCGGTGTGGGTGGTATTCCCAATATCCTTGCTTTCCGGGCACTTATCGCTGAGTCTGGAGTGGCCTCAGTCTTGTCCGATGGTAGTAGAGTGGGCATGTCGTCTCCTGCTTTGCGATGCCTCTGGGCAGTCTCAATCAATTGTGGCCTGAATTTCTTTGTAGGTGGCTTTAGCGCACCCTTGAACTGACCATTACTGATTGCAACAGCTTCCATAGGGTTTGCTTTGAACTTTCCCGTGGGGGACGTCTGTTCTTCCCAGTCCTTGGCAAATTTCTGGCGGCTGCTCCGTGTTGTTGTCTCTATTGGCTCGGGAGCAAAGCGACGGTTGGATCGCTTGGTAGTCTCAACAGGCTCGGGGGCAAATCTACGGCTAGATTTAGAGCTCGAGGTTGTTGTTTCTATTGGCTGTGGTGCGAATCTTCGTGGTTTCGGCCTCTCTGGCTGGTCTGCTGGAGCCTTGTCCTTGGAGGACGAGACGGTCGTCTCGATAGGCTCGACCTTGAACCGCCTGGGAGGAGCTGCCGACGCCATGTTAAGTATATGCAGCACTTGACGGGTGTTCCCTTATGCTATGCTTGTATTGGTAATACTGTATGTCACTGACGATATGATGTCGCCAATAGCAAGATTATTCGGTCGCCCGGGTACACTAGTGGCAGACACCGAGTATCTGGGGTGATGCGGAAGCGCACCAAAGCGGGGAATTTATTCGGGATATTTCGGAGGCATAAAAAGCGTGAACGGGCGTTTCTGCGTGTGCCAGCTACTCTGCGGACGATGCTCGGTGCAGAATCAAGCCCATGCAGGCCCCGATGGCTGTAGATGGTGGTAGAGTCGGAGGGCTAGAGGATGCAGCCAATGCTGGCCTGCTCAGGAATGCGGTCGCGTACGCGGCGGTGGATTTGTGGGTTCGCAGGGCTCAAGGGTGCTTGTGTAAACTTTGAGGTTGTCAGTCGCGTGCCCATTTGCTTTTGCAGGTGGAAGCTCCAACGCACCGTAACCCGTATCGCAGTTCCCACACGGCCAGGGGTTTGTCGAACTGCGGAAAGCGTCTGAAGGAGAGTTTGCCGGGAAACATGTGAAATGGCACGACGTCGAGGAGGATCTAGAGCTTGTGGTGCAGGATGACGTATAGTGTAGACAGTGGCATCAACAGCCCGAGAGCTACAGCGGGGGTTGCGGGTTTGGGTAAAAGAGTGCACTGATGGCGGGCACCGTCAGTTATATCCTGGGCGGCTGTGCAACGGCGTGGTTAGACGGTCAATCGTGCGAGGAGCTCGTTGGGTGATCAATGTTGATGTTTCATTGTTGGGAGAAGGATAGCGCTCCGACCAGCTCTCGAACCAGCAAGATCGAGGCAATTAAACTGTCTCGTCAATGCATGCACCGCTATTGCCTCCAAAGATAACCATGGTACTTAAGCCAAAGGGGCCATAGTAGAAAGTTCTAGGGCTCGGTGCGTGTCAAGTAGCTGCCCGATGGCAAGCCACAGCATGTGCGGCGGTCAGTCGAGTCAGCTCAACAGTCAGCCCCCCGACCGCATCTTCGGCACCTTAATTCGCTAAACAGTGCGCGGCGCAAAGGTGGAGAGAAGCCGGGTGGGTCTACTATCAGGACTAGACAATTCCATGTCGACCAACACGAAGAATCATCGACAGCGACCTGGGGGATCGGCGGATGGCATACGCTTCCCCACGACTCCACGCCGGTTTGTTGAAGACTGAGTCCAGCTTTCTGGTACCACAGAAGCTGGTCAAATCTTTGCATTACAGCGAATGCGATGCGGCATTTAGATGCTAATCAATCTTCTAATAATACGGACCCTGGCCGCGCAAGTGTCTCCGTCCAGGAGCCGTCAGAGGGTCTGCGCATCGTATACCCACGCTGGCGGCTGATGCCCGCGGGCAACTTTCTTCTTTCCACGCACGTCGCCATGATGGCATGTTTGTGGAATAGTCAGCGACACGACTGCTTCGACACGTCCCACTGTGGGTCGCTGGCGACATGCGCAGGTAGCATACTCAAGTTGCGATCTCGCGGTGACTATGCAGTACTGTCACGAAAAGCAAATGGTCGTGTTCGGGCGTTCCCGGGTGACTTCCACGGTTGACACATGGACGGTTACGACAACCACAAATGGACACTTCTACCATTCCATACTCCACTTCTACACCCATACAGCCTTTTACCCGGCTCTGGGCACATGGCTGGTCACAACGCATGCGCTTTCTTTTCTGCTTGACACAACTGCGAGTTCACATGTATACAGACTTACAGACAAAACCTCGTCCAACGCAATAGAAACATTGCTAACATTCTGAAACACAAGGCGAACTTGACATCCAGTAAAGGCGGCGCCAAAATAGCAAACTCCATACTCCTTGAAGAGAAGGCCATACTACCAAGCCCTGCAAAGCCCAAACTACGGCGGAGAGATGTATCCATATGCAGGCGCATACCCATTCCACGACTGTTCCACCAAATACCAGAGAGGCGAGCGATCCGGAACGACCAGATGAGACGCTGGGTCCCCGCGGCAGTGTTCGTACTGGGGGCTGAGACGCAGAGGTGTCTGCAAGAAATGGTATTCAATGCCAATAGGCAATGGCGTGGCAAAAGACATGCTACTAATCCAATAAAGAATTCCTGGATCAGGCGATCGGCTGCGAGTGCTTCCGCCGGTGGAGGTTACTGGGCTGTGTGCAAATGGAGAGTGGTCCGCCGTAACACACGGTTCGACGATCAGACTTCCTTCAGGCGGTTGTCCATAAGCGACAGTATTAATACAGTCTGTCGGATCTTGGTCTGAGGAACCTGTTGTGGAGTCGTTTATATCGTGAGCCATTCCGACATCTTCGTCTTGCGATTCAGTCATCGAACTTTGATCCTCATCCGCATCAACGGCAGTCTCTTCGTCGCTTACTCCAGCACCGCCTTCATCCTCGCTGGGCTTCTCGCATCCTTCTCCACAATCATATCCGCAGTTTCTCCAATTGAATTGAGGCGGCCTGTCCGAACATGGGCTGACTACAGATGGCTGGTGCGAAGGACTGTTCAGGTCATCGTGGTCGTACATTGTAGAGATGAGAAGAACAAAACGACGATGGCTGAGGGTTTGTTAGCAAGTCTAACCATGCGAATTTCATCACTCAACGGGTATAGTCGACATCCAACTGATTGCACACAAGCATATAGGAACAGTGCATCTTACCTTGGCAGATCAACGAGAAAGAAAACAATATGGCAAGAAACGGTAGACAACTCTGGTTATCACACGTGGGCGATAGATTTTGCGAAGATGATGGTATACAGGCTAATAATACAGATCAAGTATCCTCCAGGGCTCCAAACAAACAGACGCTGGGAGGGGAATCGAGAAGCAGAAGCACTACAGAATATACGCAGACTTTATATTCAATTGACGCCACTGATGATCGGCATCCAGACACAAGGCGATTGAACATACGGATACCCGTAGCCGCTTCCGCGAGAGACACGTTGCTTGACCCCAGGCCTGAGCTGGTCACCTACACGGCTTCAAAACACCGTCACTAGGCCTCTTCCCCGCTTCCTCTGCGACCAATGCACGCGAGAAGGGCCAAAATCCTTCGTCCATCTATTACTGTATCCTGACACCGGCCAGCGACTCAATATTCGGAGGGAGTCGAGAGTACCCTTGAGTAACCACGCGACCAAAGGATAACATAGGATACAATTGCAATCTGTTGGTAACCCGAGGGTAGCCGAGACTTGCTTCATCTAGCCAGATGACGGAGTTTTGAGTATGTCGACGTGAACGTGTCGCATACATGTCCTGAAGGACTCACCGGAGGCCGCCTACATCATTTCCGCAAGTGGGGTAAAAGCCACCGGTCAGCACCGTGAGCAATCACAAGTAAAGGACCTAGGCCTGCCTCAAACAACATTGGTCGCTTCACTTTAGCATGATGTATAGTTACATTGCTCTTTTGATGGATGTTTAAGGTCACGTCAATCTGTACTCCCGTTTCTAACCTGCTGAGTCGGAAGATTTCGCTATTGGTGGATGGATCTGGGATAAGGATGCCTACGTGGTATGTTACTTTGAACATACTCTTCTATTTTCTTTCTAGTCCGTCAAGATACAACGCGCCGACGGAAATGCATGGTATTCCCCGTACATTAGCCTTCAGATGCCGGGTTTCCAGATCCAGCCATGACGTCTTTATACATTGGTAAATATCTTTCTTTGCCGTCCTGCTTATTTGTTATGCCAAAGCAACGTTCGCAACGAATCCCAGTCGTCCGATTGTACATAACTGTCGACGTATTAGCGCAGCTCCATGTTACCTCAGCTTCCAAGGGTACCCACATATAACTCATACTACTCCTCAAACTACTTTGCACACTCTCAGGATGCCACCTGAAGATATACATGACCATGGCCCAACTCAAACTGGCAAAAACTGGCCATCCATTCTTCGCCATCTTCTTCCTCATCTCTCCATTACCAAAAAGCTCCCACCCACCACCACCTCCCTTTACTCCTTGTCCACTAGCTCCGCCACCAACATGTCGCGGTTGTACTGCTAACTTTGCTAATGCTAAACATACGCGTGCGGCTACGTAGATGACGATTTGCTGAGACACGGAGTTGTGGATTGTGCGACCGAAGACTGTGTAGCCGCCCAATAGACCGGCAAGGAAGGAATCGTAGTGCCTTTCTTTGCCGGTTGGGGAAGTATGTCGGAGGAAGAGCATGGTGGATTTGTAGACGAGGGCGAAGAGGCCGAGGTTACGCGCATGTTGGCGGGTCGCTTTGTAGACGAGTGAACATTTTGACCGGAAACTATTTGGATGGTTGTCAGTCAACGCCGTCTTGGAATTTGAAAGCGTGCGAGATTCGAGGTAGAAGAGAGTCCGACGTACCTCCCAGATCTGAAGAGAAAGATCATCCTACAACACACGTCAGCTATCCGTTCCCTGTAGCATACGATTTCCGATCAACCTACACAAGCGCATGCGGGAATCGCACTTTACTTCCATATACGATGCCATTCCTTACGCCTTTTACCAGTGTAAGGATGTCGTGGTACTTGGGATCCAACACGATCTTCTCAAGCGCAGCCTGTTGAAGCGTCAGTCAGCTTTGTAGAGGATTTACGATCCAAATCCCTTCCGACGTACTTCGAGGGCGTGTAGCTTGTCCATGGTGTTCCTCTGTATGTGCTATGGACTGTGTTGTGATTGCTTGCGTTCGGCGAAGATAAGCCTCGGTCCAGCGCGCGCGTTGCGATGACGTTTGTCGCTACCTCATACAACCGTGGAATCCTTGAACGAGAGGATACAAGGAGTGAAGAGAAGTGTCAGGATAAAATGCACGTATCATGAGGCCAACATGGGAAAGGTGAGCGAGGGTTTGTAGTCGGGTATAGCACGGAGCAACTAGAGTCGCAGTCGCGGAATGGCTGTTGGCATTTGATCCTCGGCTCGCGTCCGTCACGTTGCCGGTCGCTGCTTCCCCACATTGGAGCAGCTTCGCGCTAAGCGAAAGGAAGGGACAGGGGGTGTTTGCGCATTGACATGTGAAGACAGAATGACATGGATGACAATGACATGTGCTATTGCTGCCCTTGCGTGCTCTATGATGTAGGAATATTTATTTCTATGCGCTCAAAGCAACGATATATGGTATCTCGACGCTCTTGCCTGATGCTTTACAAACGCCCTCCAAACACCGTCATATGCTACTCCTGTCAAACACCTCCTTTCGCGGCATCTTTCTACTCTGCCTGTCGGGTAGGCCATCGCTTCTTCAACTCCTCGTATACGGTAAATATGAATGCAGAACTGGGTATAGATCTTGCGACTGTGATGCCGCATCCACGGTACATGCCTTTGATACCGTGCTGCTTCCAAAGCGCTTTTCCTACAGCGCTGAACGTCGACTTTCCACCAGTCAACTGCTTGACATCTTCCGTCTGCATTCTCGACTTGATGGTATCGGCAGGATAGAACATGAAGTTATAGGCTCCACCTGCGACGGAACCAGAGGCCATGCGCTGCCAGACTGGAAGATCTTCCTCCGTGGCCGAAGTACTAGAGCCCTTGAAGAGGATCTTCATGCCTTCGTACCCACCAAACCATGCTGCACCGCCTCCTGTCTCACGGATCAAGGTTCCAAATTGTCCGTGCCAGTAGCCAGTAAGGCCCTGGTGACGGTAGATAGAAGCAATGACACCGCGTATGGTTGGTGCGGCTACGATGTTGCCGTGCGCTTCTAGAGGGACTTGCATCTTGCATTTGACAAGTTCAATGGGTGTAAGGAAAAGCGATGTGATGGCACCAGCGATCATTCCGCAAAAGAGCATACCGGAATAGGGTAGGTCCCGGTCCGGATGTTTGTTCAACTCTGGATAGAATCCTGAAGACTTGAGTGCATCGCCAGCTAGACGATACTGCAGGACATGTCAGTATGGTTTACTTTTTGTACACACGTCTCACTCACACTGAAGAACAAGGTGCTGGTCTCTACAGCAGCTCCAACCAGAGGTGCACTAATTCCTCTGTATATGCCAGTGAAGCCATCGTGTTGTAGAGACTTCTTGAAGCAGTCTAATGGCCCGGTGTAGCGGAGTGGCACCTGATCGGGCTGTGACTGCAGCCGGACCTTGATGGTATCGAAGGGGTACTCGATGTACTTTCCGACAACTCCAGCTGTCGATCCACACAGGACGTCCTTCAAAGCTTCTTCTCCCTTGCCGATGGCTTGTGCCGCAGCAGGACTCTGGACCTCTTCCATGATGACTGGGTTCGGCAGCCTGCCTCTTCCCCCCACCACCGACACCGAACTCTTTTGTGCTTCCATGAATCAGGAGTATATGGCTCGTCAACGGGTATGTGCAGGCGTGTTGAATGTGTGTTTACGAAGCGGCGCGCATGTTGTGTGCAAAGAGTCGTGGGCGGTGAGAGGGCGCGTGGCTACTGTTATGAAGCGGAGCCCATGTCAATGATGAGGTGCGACAAGGACGTTTGTGGTGGTGCGAGTGGTGCGAGGGCCGGAGGTGTGTAGCACGACGAAGAGAGTTCCCGTGGGTCCTGTGTGACTTTGGGTGAATGCAACAGCAGCCCAACGACCAGGGCACCCTTAGTTCAGAAAATTCTGCCGGGAGAACGTATTAGAGGAATGGAAAGCGCATAGCGCCTACTGATCCAGACCATGTGCATGCCGTGAGCGCATTATGGATGTGAGGGACTAAAGCGCACAATACGCGTCGTCAGCGCCCTCCTGCATCATCTTATCTGATCGATCTGATTAACTCTGTCGCCGCCGCCGCCGTGCAAAGCCGCCCTAGCTGCTTTGGGCGAGTGGTACTGTCTATTATCGATAAGCACCCGTGGACTTTTCTTGTCAATCCCATTTCCGTGCCAAGGTCCACAGGTCGCGCAACACCCCAAACATGTCTGAGTCTGTAATAATCGAGGCGCCTCCCGCGACGGAAACTGCCCCTGTCAAGGGCATGAAGAAGAACGGTATGCGACAGCTGTGTGCGAGTTGCGCAACGACATTCTAACTTTGCACAGGCAAGCAGTGGCACGACAACAAGGGCCCGTTCCGACCGAAGGCAGGTCAAACCTCTTGGGAGAAGCGCAGTGAGGAGAGGAAAGCGCTCGCTGCTGTCAAGGCCAAGGAGAAGGAGCTAAAGGAAGAGAAGGAGTCTGAGAGACAGGTAGGAAGCCATCCATGGTTACTGGCTACAGCGGAAAAAGGCTGACAATACAACAGCGACGAGTCGAAGCAATCAAGACCAAGCGCGCGGCCAAGGAAGAACGGGAGCGATTTGCCAAGATGGAGGAGAAGATGCATAAAAGGCGCGTAGAGCGCCTGAAGAGGAGAGAGAAGCGCAACAAGATGCTCAAGTCATGAGCTTGGTAGTGGCAGGATTGTAGTCAAACTGTAAAGCACGGTGAAGGAATTGCCGTTCCATAAGGAGCATGCCATATGGGCGCAGAGGAGCGACTGAAAGGCACAGAGACATGATACCCTAAGCATTTGGACATAGGAAAGAGTAAAACGCATTTTTCTTTTACAAAATGTTGTCCGCGGTCCTGAATTGCGCATTACTATCGTACACCGAGTATCCTAGACACATGGACATATGAGTACTTGTATAGGCAATTTGCAACTTCCTTTCACATGTTCAGCTACAGCTGGTTAGCGTGAGACCCCTGCAATGTCATGGCACGCGGCATCACCGACCAGTGCCGACGACCAACACCAACATGCCAGCTGAACATGGAGTCGCTTCACCTGCATTCAGGGCTGGCTGACCTCCGCCCAAACCTATACAGTTCCCGATCGGCGACGCGTGTGACATCAGATCCCGACAAGAAGGCGCATCCACATGTGCACAAGTCTTCTCGACACCACCACGACCGTCACCATGGCCATCACCGACACAGCTCCAGCAGACGCCATGCTGCAAAGGAAGCCATGCAGTCGGCCATTCAGATACAACCGCCTACCAGCTTTGGAGACTTGCTCAGGCAGGCGCGAGGGAGCAGAGACACCAGCCCTAGCCACAGTCGCAGAGAGAGCGTTGCGCCAGGACAGGCCGATGGCAGCGTCAACGGAAAGGAGGAAAGCACCCCAGGCATCACCATTCCGCCGCGGAGGCCACTCCGGCAGGCGGATGTGGAGCTAGAGGCAAAGAGGGTCGAGGCTAGAGAACGGTACGTCTGCGTCATTCGCTCTGCAGTTGGTAGCACTTGTTGCAGCAACATGTCTTCTCTAACATGGCGCGTAGAGACCTCCGTGCTGTCCTCCAGTCCCTCTCCGACCAGTCCCTCAAGACGTCGCGCCGTCTAGACGATACATACTACTCCATCCTCGAGAAGGTTTCCGTACTGCGCCAGACCATTGGAACGCTGCAAGAGCTATCGGGCTTGACCAAAGAGCTCCATGACAACTTCGAGTCGGACACCACAGAGCTGGTAGAGGATGTGACTGGTCAGGTAGAAGCCTTCGACGGCTTCAAGGCACAGCAAGAGCAGGTCAGCGGCTTGGAAGAGCGCATCAGAGCGGGCAAAGAGAAAGCAGATGCTTTGACAGCGAGACTTGAACGAGCGAAAGAGCGTGTCGACGCGAGGGCCAAGTCAGAAGCGCAGTGGCAGGCCAAGAATACCCGTATAGCTGTCCTCATACATACAGTTTGATCTATTGGAGCTGACATGACACAGATCGCGTGCGCATCTTCTGGGCCATAGTCGCCTTTGTAGTCACGCTTATACTAGCTCTCGTTCTCTTCCGCCCGGCTCAACCGACCCATCATGTACCTGAACCGCAGAGCACTCTCGACCCCGCGACCAGAGAAGCCATTTTGAACGCAGATATCCCAAACATAGCAAAAGAGGCAATCATAGGGCCGTTAACCAGCACCCCCAATCACGTCGTCGAGACCATTGATCCGCACCTTGTACTCGAGGACGATGAGCGATTGCGCGGATTCGACGAGCTGTAACGCTTTCTATCATGTTCCCCTCTAGCTTCTTCTCAAGTACCGTGATACCCCCTAGAACAATTCGACTTTAATACTCTTCACGATGATACGCCGTAGAACTTGGCCAACTCTTCATCTACCACAAACAGCATCTTCCCTTTGATCGCACTCCCGTTGATGAGGAGCTCATGCGCTTCCACTGCGTCGCTCAGTCTCAACAGCTTCGCAACAACGGGATCTAATTTCCCCTCTCTTACTTTTTCCACAACAGCATAAAACTCCGCCACTTCTTTCTTCTTTGGGAACTCTATGTCAAGCGACCAGAAGCTCACTCGTGGAGGTTGCAACAGTGCTGCAAACAGTTCATCGATGCTTCCCAACATCTTGCTCCCATCATCAGCAATACTTCCCATGGCTCCAAAGACAACTACTTTGCCAACATCTTGCTTGGTTGCTGCGAGGAAGTCGTGTGCAGTCTTTTCATTGCAAACGCCATCATATGCAACGTCAACTCCTTTCCCGTCTGTCAGTGCATGAACTTGTTTAACAAGATCTGGAGCACTTCGATCCAGCGGCACCACACCCAACGAGCGGACATATTCAAACTTGCTCGGCGAACATGTTCCGATCATCTTGATACCCTGCAGATGTGAACATACGAAGTCAGTGTATGTCTCGCATGCATTCCGTACAGCGATAACTTACCATATC